GTCTTCACACATGCGCACTGATTCGGGTCATTAGGGGCGGGTGGAGGGATGGCTGTGTTGTGTGTGGTGTTGGTCATGGAAGACCGAGTGTTCTTATGAATTGTTTTTGAGAGCATAGGGGAGGGGGGGTTATATAGGTGGATTCCGATCGCTTCCGCTATGGCCAAAATGCGACTCCTAATCCTTCTAGATCGGCGGGTGCGAACTAAGTAGAGGGGTCGAAATGCCTCGGCCACATTAACTACGTGGGTTGATTCCACTAGGTGTGAGCTGTTGATGGTCCTACTTACTCCACTGTTCAACCAGGCCGGGTGATGCTCACGGACTCGTTCAGATAAACGTCTGCTCGTGCGACCAATGTACCTTGTCTCACAGGAACTAATAAACAAGTACACACAGAAAGAGACAGCAGAAACAGACAATTTATTTCTGAGTTGAAAGCACAGAATTGGCCTGGAGACGAACACAATTAGCAGTTTTGCTGCGGGGAATGCTTTTTCTACAACTGTACCCAGCTCACGTGTCAACATATCAGCAGTTGTGTCGCCCTTGAAATGTAGCGATATGTAAACCGGTTTATTCTCCTCAGTCGGTCAGTGGGACAATTGGTGACGTAGATGACACGCATATATGGATTGTCGGTGAACACTCAGACCGTTGGACAGAGCACATCAAATCATATTTCAACCAACTCCCGCCACTGATCATTCGAATTAGTCATCGTGCAAGTGCGTCGTTCTCTATCCACAAAACCACCGCCTACTGAAGTGGAGATCCGAAAGCAGCCTCAAACCATGAGGCACCACAAGCGTGTGGTCAAGAAAACTTTCCACTGGTAATTTCCAAAGATTGTGAAGAATGTCTCGTGATAGAATTTTCTAGACTGTTTTCTTAGATCTGGAGAAAGAAATTGCATCTGCAATGTGGGAGGAATTGATTGTTATATCCATTTCTAAGGAGGGCTGTGGCAATATTTATTTCAACCTCACTGGGGCACAAGTGTGATTTCAGTAGCACCACACCTATGGGCGTCCGTTTTATCACGCGGATTGACTCCAATTCGCGAAGAGCGAGTCCGCGAAAGGTGGACCGGACTTTGTGCTAGTCGTATTTTCATCGATCAAATATTCACCATGTTTCATATTTTGGAACTCCACTACACATATTGGCGACAATCAGTGGTTGTGGTTCTCGAAACCGATGTGGTCTTCGACTCGATTGATCACCCTGCCCTGTGAAACTGCTTTCTGAGATATGGAGTGTCTGACAAGTATTATCCAAAGCAAAAACACTCTACCGACAGTCTTCGAGGAAGATTGGGGTTTGTGGTGAACTGTCACCAGTGATTTCGATTTCGTCATATATGATATCCTGCAAGAAGCCTTGCATACCAAAACTTACTGTACTTACTGTAGTGTCAAGCTCTTTAGTGGAAACAGAGTTATAGCCATGGGGTATACCGCTGATGTTGTTTGGCGAGATAGGCTAAGTCACGTGCTGATTGCGGTTGCTCGATATGGTATATGGTTCGCATCTTCAAAAGCCGGGGTTCTAGTAGAAGGTTGGCAGGAGTCTGTGTTTGCATATTCCTTGATTTGTGACACAATGATAGTGGTTGAAGGCTTTGTCTTTCTCCCAATTTATATAACGGCCGATGGAATTGTGTATGAAGAAATCTCATGACGCATAATCAAATCAAACGTTCCGTTTACTAATCTGCGGCATCTCTGTTGCCGGCGGGTTTGCATAGTACAATGGTACGTGATGTATGTTGCTTAATGATTACAAAGGAGGTCTTTCTGAAAGGGTGATGATCTACATCAGTCTCTCTTCCTCGCCTATGATGAGAGAATAGTGTGTGTAACGATCAGGTCGGAAGACGCGTGATAAGGTTGGATAGTTCTCAGTTAAGCGAGATCATCTCGCTGTATTGTATGAGGTGACTGGGAGAGGGGTACATTCTACGAATGCCTAGACAGCGTGTCCTAATGCGCCTCATTTGCCGATAGGGACACAAGTGGAAGAATGGAATAATGAATGGGGTAAGCTCAGACGAGGTCTAGAGGGTTTTACGAACTGTTTTCGGATTTCGGTTCCGTCTTGAGCATTCTGGTTTTCAGAGTAGGGTCCCAAGAATAACATCGTCGTTGACTTTAGAAACTATCAGATATGACATTGAATCGCATTGAGTAACGTGAATGCTTGTTTGAATGTTGGCGATCTCAATTAATGATAGGATGAAACGGAACGCTAATTAGGACACAAGACAATTACATCGCCAATATAAACGAAGTACTTTGAGTGCTAGAACATTTTCAATCTACCCTACACATGAGAACAAAGATCTCACCAAAGGCTTTGTCACAAAAACGCTACAGATTTAGTTGCTTGATGGTTACATTTCCGAGGCTGAATACAAACAATTGAAGCCAATAGAAACGGAAACATCACAAATGGGTGGTTCGCCGAAATTTCACAAGCTTAGGACTCCACGCAGATGAATTCTGTGCATGCAGAACTCGCCTTATCACAAACTCACCCGATGGTTGGTAGGAATTCTTGATCTCATTCGTAAATCTCTTAGGACTCACGGTGTGAGCGATTCTTTAGAATTTTCTAGTGTTTGGGAAAGCATGACAGTATCCCTACAGGGAACGAATTCGATAGATGTGGATTCAACCTTAACTAATGTACCACCTTGCCAAACAATCGATTTTTTGTGTGATTATATTTCTCAAAACAATTTTCCCCCGAATATTCTCCTTGAATATTTATTAGAACTGATTCTTATATGTACACTAAAGACAGTAGAGGAGAACATTGCTAAACAATGGTTACCCAGAAAGATTGATGGTTGTTCATAGTAGAGCATTCTCGAAAGTTAACCAACCCAACCCAAAATGTTAGCAAAAAGGCCATCTACTTAAAGCTAGCGTTCAAAAGTGACTACCTTTTGCAATGCTGTACGCCATAAAATGAGATCATCTGTAGGCCGTACATTCCCAGCTGCTCAAATCAGACGCATTGCCTCTACTCGTGGAACTGATTTGGACAAATGTAAACGTGGCTGTCAAACCGCTTGCACCTCTCGAACACACTGATCATCAGTCCACCGAAAGTTGCGGTGACCAATAAATACATAGGCACAAACAAACCGTCAGCTCTCACAACGGATGGCCGAACGTATTCCAATTTGACTGGTGAAATCGATGATGCAATCGATAACTAATGGTCAAGTGATCACCAGAAATCAAGGCTTATCTGTTGCAAAATATTTCATGACAACAAGGAACACAGTTGATCACAATTCGTCGTCGGAGAAATCGGCCTGGGCTTTTTCGAATGTGTTTCGCGGACCGTGGGATGCTGTTGCAAAGCTGTTTTGATAACTATACTGACATATTGTTATGTTTCCATGGATTCGGAATTGATGGGGAAATAAAGTAACGAAGATGAGATACAGTGAGTTAGACTTCGGTTGAAACAGGAGAGTAACAAGGACCACAGAGCTGTTCTCCACAATGAAGATTTGTTCTAGTATGCTCTTGTTTTACTCGCACTTCTGTTTCCGTTCATATGTTCAGAAACCAAGGTGAATAAGAAGCGAATAATGAATCGTCTGTAGCTCGTTCGCTTCAGATCTTAGTATTACTATGAATTCGAACTCGGGACCGCATGCCGTTATAGTCAAAGTAGATTCAGCATGGTATCCATTTGTATTCAAAGCGATTCCTCCATCCCTTTCGCATTGCGCGCAAGAAGCCTAATCAATTCCAAATATCACCTATCATTTAAAAAGATGAGATTCGTTCCACACTTGTATAGTGCAGAGTCAGGATGGGTGGATGGCACTACACCCAACCATCTATGTTAGGTAAACCTGTGATATCTCACCTCATAAACGACACGAGTCCATTCATCGTCCTATCACCGTCCTATTATATCACCATTGAATTGATCAATGGGAGGTCGAAAGTGACATCTTCGTCTCGATCACACGAATGATTCTTCAATCCGTTAGCTAAAGTGACAAGGAGGATCTCTAGAATGCAGCGCGTCTAACAGCGAATGCTTAATTTGCCGAGAACAATAAAACTCTTTCAATATGTTTTCCAGCCAAAAAATACTGAATGATCCAATTAGCTGAAAGAACACCAAAATCAGTTCCCCATGGAAAGATCCCCGAACACTCACTCCCTTGCATGCACATGTCTCCCTATTATGGGAATAGTCCCACGTGCAGTACTCACGCCAAATCGATAATAGGAAGGGAAACCAGCTCGGTCCAACACTACGAAAACCGCAAAACATTCTTCACTCCATAAACCACAACATACCTAACCGCCATACCTCACGATTGTCCGAACCGAGAATACACGCGTCACGCATATATCGAAACAATCTCATCGAACGATACACGATTCCGACAACTTGCATCCATCACTGGATAAAACGATTACATCTCCAGAGTTAGTAATACACCAGTCCCACGAACCTCGCACGCCGTTCACATCCCTGCCCATAGCGAACGCAGATGAGATGTACCCGGTGCATATCACATTCAACACTAACAAACGAATGATTACATCCTCATTATCTGCTCATCTATCTTCTTTCCGATGTCGCCTAGTGCGGAGATATGCGACACATACCACATACGTCCACGTACTCCAGATTCCAATCTGCAATTTACAAGACTACGGAGTCGAGCACGACTAGTCGATCGGAATTCAGCTTCACGCGGAACAGCACAGACGAAACTGGACTCAGTCTACCAGTCACAACAAACACGTATACGAACCGATCCACAAACGGTCTAGCATACCGAGAACCATAACTTCCACTAGCCCGATCTACGCGAAACACAGAACAATGAACGAAAATCAATCAATCAGCTATTTGTATTGATCAGAAATATGAAAGGAATGAGAAATACACGGGAAAAGCAGTTGGGGTGAAATGTAAATGCAAATACAAAAGGGCACTTCTTTCGAATCTGATCAATCCACTTCCTCGATCGTGGGACCTCTGGAACCGGACGAACCACCTCTAGCACCACCCGTCGGCATACCACCAGCACCGCTACCCGGTCCACCACCAACACCGGACTGATGCAATTTCGTCATGATCGGATTACAAACACGCTCCAACTCCTTCTGTCGAAACTCGAACTCGTCCTTCTCAGCCGTCTGATTCGCATCCAACCACTCGCTCGTCTCTCTACACTTGTCCAGTATCAATTTCCGATCCGACTCGGACAACTTGCTTTTCACCTGCTCGTCTTCCACCGTCTGCTTCATCGAGAACGCATAACTCTCCAACGCGTTCTTAGCACCCACACGCTCACGTTGTCGCTCATCATCCTGCTTGTACCGTTCAGCCTCCTGCACCATTCGCTCGATTTCATCTTTCGACAAACGACCCTTGTCGTTCGTGATTGTGATCTTGTTCTGTTTACCAGTGCTCTTGTCCACCGCAGAAACGTTCAATATGCCGTTCGCATCAATATCGAACGTCACCTCGATCTGGGGAACACCACGTGGAGCAGGCGGAATACCAGACAACTCGAACTTGCCCAGCAAATTATTGTCACGTGTCATAGCACGCTCACCCTCGTACACCTGAATCAACACACCCGGCTGGTTGTCCGAATAAGTGGTGAACGTCTGGGTCTGCTTCGTCGGAATAGTCGTGTTTCGCTTGATCAATGCGGTCATCACACCACCGGCCGTCTCCAAACCCAACGACAACGGAGCAACATCCAGCAGCAACAAATCCTGCACCGCCTCGTGCTTGTCTCCACTCAATATGGCCGCCTGCACAGCAGCACCATAGGCAACAGCCTCGTCCGGATTGATCGATTTGTTCAACTCTTTCCCATTGAAAAAGTCTTGCAACAACTTTTGCACCTTAGGGATACGAGTCGAACCGCCGACCAAGACGATGTCGTGAATCTGATGCTTGTCCATCTTCGCATCACGGAGCGCCTTCTCAACCGGTTCCAGTGTGCCACGGAACAAATCTGCATTCAACTCTTCAAAGCGAGCACGAGTGATCGATGTGTAAAAGTCTATCCCCTCGTACAAAGAGTCAATCTCCAAATTCGCCTGAGCACTGGAACTCAACGTACGCTTCGCGCGCTCACATGCAGTTCGAAGACGACGAACAGCACGTTTGTTGTCTGTTATATCTTTCTTGTGCTTACGCTTGAACTCCTGAATGAAATGACTGACCATACGGTTGTCGAAATCCTCACCGCCCAAATGCGTGTCACCAGCGGTCGANTTTCTTATCCAAACCGTAAGCGATAGCAGCCGCAGTCGGCTCGTTGATTATGCGCAACACATTCAATCCGGCAATCGCACCGGCATCTTTTGTCGCTTGACGTTGACTGTCGTTGAAATAGGCCGGAACAGTGACCACTGCATCTTTCACATCTTTGCCAAGGTATGCGGACGCGATCTCCTTCATCTTCATCAACACCATCGATGAAATCTCTTCAGCCGAGAAAGTTTTCTGTTCGCCACGGAACTCGACACGAATCTTTGGAATACCACCTTCTGAAACAATTTCGAACGGCCAATGTTTACGGTCCTCGGTCACAGAAGGATCATCAAATCGTCGACCGATCAGACGTTTCGCATCGAACACAGTGTTGGTCGGGTTCATGGCCACTTGGTTCTTTGCTGCATCGCCAATCAGTCGTTCGGTGTCGGTGAATGCCACATAACTTGGCGTTGTGCGGTTTCCTTGATCGTTCGCAATGATCTCTACTTTTCCATGTTGGAAAACCCCAACACAGGAGTAGGTTGTTCCAAGATCGATACCAACTGCCGGCATGTCTGAGCAGGGAACAAGTGTGAGAGAGAACGCGCACACGTGAGACGAAATGCACCGGTGCCCATCATTTTTATCGTCGTCTATTCGTCCAATCAGAGTGTGCGGTGCTTCCAACCAGTGGCGTTTTCGCTCTTACGTTGGCATTAATTTTATTGGCTCGGCTTTAGACCAATCTTACCCATCGTTGTCCTTTAATTGGTTGTGTTTGTTACGCCCCCGGTTAGCTTGATGTCTAGTCTATACCCCCGTGTCTGGTATTTAGATAATTGGATGTCTGTATTCGTGCACTGACCGTGATGACTTCGTCCCCCGTCTTTTTCGGCTCCCAAGCACTACATTGGTGTTGTGTTTGGTTTGTTTGGTGTTGTCCAACGTGAACCACTAGACGGTACCTCCAAGTTTACTGCGGGAAAAAATTGATAAAGTTTAGAAATGCCCTAAAAGATTTATAGGTTTTGCAGTTCTGCCGGTGCTGTTTCTGTTGCTTGTTTACGCATCGTGCGATAACGTCACAGTTCCGATGCGTAAATTTATATTCATCACTTCCTGAGTTTCAGTAAATAGCTCAATCACACATAGCGGTCGTCTACAACAACTTACTCGTTGTACAAAACTCATTTGTGTTTAAGGAGAATTTAAAAACATTGACGATATATGCGCATTATCACTGGTTCGTCGGACTCGGTTTGAATAATGAAGGTTAATCTCCTTTCGCGGATCATTGAAGTGAGTGGAGTCTATTGTTAGGTGATCGCGATTTCGGGGTCTATCCGTTAGTCAGTACGGAAATTCTAATAATTTCCCTTTCATATGCGATGGAAATTTTTGTGTTGACCGGCAAAGAGCACTGGACCGCTGCTTTGTCCTATTTGAGACTGGTCAGGAGTACGCACTGCTGACAGGTCTCAAACACGACGAAACAGCTGTCCGATGTTCTTTGTCGGTGACCATAAATATTTCCATCGCATATAATTACATGGGACTGGTGGGGAATAAACGACGCCCCAAGGAGCGAAACCCACACCCAAAGCCATCAAGAGTGCCTGATGTCTGTGATCAATTACATATGCTAATTCAAATGTGATACCATAAAATGTTCACTTTTCTTCACCTGGATTAATCATTTGATATAAAGGTTCTTGATACACCGAGACACATGTAATGGCGCTCCTAACATGGGATGCATGATAGGTGTACAAGATTAAATGAACAAATATTAATGAGGTCAGCTTAGGCAGGTTTTTAAGGTACGTGTGAACAACAATTGTCTTTCTAAATCTAAATGAAAAAATGAAAATTTGAATGAAAGCCTCAAACGCGGAACGACATAGGTTTTTCAATGAAGCATAGTCCGAAAAGGCACTTGTGTAAGCGACAGTTAATCCAACAAATGGCGATCGCTTCCTTCTGCATCCGGGATAACTCTCTTTTTGTTGCCTTAAACAAACGCGAGATGCAGACAGTAGGACACCTGTTCTGTCCAAGCGCGTTACTAATGTCACTCTGTCTGACATGCGCGTTATCAAAGCTGGCCGTTTCGAGAGGGAATAGGAGGCGAGCACAGGGCGTACAGTTATCATCGGGATAATATTCTGAAGGATTTGTTCGTATTGGTCACATTCTCTTCCGCTTAATTGTCAGCTGGCTCACGAAGGCGCGTGAGGTTTTGTTGGAAACGTTTAGAATGGAGCATAAAACTGCAGACATACCATTGCCTTAGTCGGTGCCGGTCTCTTGTAATGATTATGGAAGTAGTAGTAGTGAAGTTACGCACAGAATTCCGGACACGAACTACGCAATGGGGATCACGGAACACGAATAAGAAAACCGATGGCTCGAACTCGCAATAACCCGCAGGATCGAGACGCGAGGAAAAAGGCCACAAGACAGGCGAATCACAAAGTCGTTTATTGAAGGAAATGAAAGTGAATATATATGTACACAAGAAAAGATCATTGGCTACCTTAGTTTCCACCAATCATATTGCATCACATCTTGCGTCATACTGCTCTTCTCTGCATTGTATCTGATTGGCTGGAACGGTGCACCAATGACGTGTATCCGGAGGCTGTGCACGTGCTACTGGCGTCATTGCTCAAGGTCGATTGACTACCAATGTCTGGAAACTGTACCGCGCTGTTCCAGGGCAGGCGTGATCTCGTAGATCCGAATCACCACAACTCTCCTCCCTCAAAAGAGCCTCGTNACGTTCCCGGAGTAGCGGGTTGCTGTGTATGGTCTTCTGTGGTTGTTGGCGCTGTATCATAGGATGGGTTTTCTTGGGTTTCATCGGCCGGATCCTCAATCG